CGCGCTCGGGAGCTACCCGACGGAGCCTGCGGAGACCTGGCCGGACGGCGGAGACCAGGTGCCTGCGAACCTGCGAGCGCCCACGCAGCGTGCGCCGGTTAGCGGCTGGAGGGCTGAGCCGTGGGGCGAGGTGGACCCGGACTCACCTCGCAATGGCCGGTGAGGGCTGTGCCCGCGCTGCTTTATGCGTCCTACCGGCCCGGCTCCCCGCCCCCGGGCCGGGGGCCTCCTCACTGCCCCGCCCGTCCCTGCCCCGCCCTATCCTTTCTGCTGGGGCCTCACACCCTCCTCCATCTCCTCCTCCTCCAGGAAGCACACCCCGACGGACCAGACTAGACGCACCAGACTCGCGGCGCGTTTGCTGGCTCCGCCCTGCACCGCCGCCCGGCCACGCGGCGTCGAGTGTATTCGCAGCGCACCTCGCGCAGAGCCTCTCTCTGTCCTCGTTGCACCCCGCAGCCTTCCCTCGGGTCAAGGTCGTGACTTGCAGCTTCTTTCCTTCCTAAGATGGCTCCGACTGCCTTCCTGGACTGGCGGGAGCCCAGCCCGGGACGCGCCTTCTCTGGCGCCTCGGCTCCTGCGAGCCGTGGGGGGTGGGGAGGCGGTGGCATGTGCGCGCCAACGGGGTTCCTACTAATCTAACCCGCGTGATGGGCCCCTGGACGGATGCTCTGGCGTCAGATTGACCCAGGACCGCCCTTCGACACCCCCCCAGTGTGTAGACCTCCTTGTCTCCACAATTCTGGCCACCAGCCAATCAGGCTAGCAGCAATTCCCGCCTTACCCTCCTCCCCATCCCTGCTGGGGCTGTGTCCTTGGCCATTGACCCTCAGGCTTAAAAGGGCAGGCGCTGCTGACCGAGGGTGAGCCCATCTCTGCTCTGCGCATTGTGGTGACCTCCATGCACATCACCGGAGGGGCAAGGCTGACCCGGCTGCTGTCCAGCCCGAGGCGGCCGTGGGTGCCACCTTTGGTGGATGGGGCCCAAGCGCTCTTCCCACCTGCAGGGGGTTGCTGCTGCAGACACCCACTGGGGCTTTGCCCTGAGAAGGGAGGAAGTGTCTGGTTGAAAGTTTCTTACGTTCTGATGAGCCGTCCCTGGCAGGAGACGGGCTTGTCTGCCTGAGCTTCCCTACCCCCCATCTCCACCCACCACCCTTTAGGACCTACTCTGAAAATCCACTAGGTAGACCTTCAGCACCTGGACCAGACTCCCCAAATCCCGAGGTAGTGGTGCAGAAGAACAGAAGGACCAACTTGCCTAGGGAGCAAGGGTAGGTGGGAGGCACAGGGGCTGGACCCCCTGAAAAGCCACCAGCAGCTCCCCCACATCGGACACTCCCGGCCCACCCCTTCGAAGACTTCACCCAGGATTGCAGGAGCAGCCCATCTGAGATGCTACTTCCACAGTTGTCTCCTTCCATTGTCCACCTTCAGTCCACTGGGACCTGCTTTTTATCCCCACCACTCTCTGGGAAAGGGGGTTGCTAATCCCAGTAGAGTCAGCGATTCAAATGCACAAACTGCCTGGTGGGAGAAAGCTGAGGCTGTCTGCTGCGATAAAGATTTAGTCTGGGCTTGCTGGCTAGGAGTTGGCAAAAGCTCTTGTCAGGTCACCCGGCTTCATCTCTGTTGCCTCCATCTGTTCTCCTCCCCACCCCACCCCAGACCTCAGCAGCACTCAGTGCCAGCCATCCTTCTTTTCTCCAGCAACTTGCCCTTCTCTTCCTCCCATCTCCGGCTCAGACGGAGCTGGCAGTGTTGATTGGCCCCAAGACTCTTTTCCTACATCCATAGTGGGACTATCAAAAACCCTATCTCCACTCCTTGAGTTCCTGACCTCCTTTTCCCTCCCCACCGCCCCTCTCCCTCAATCAAACAAACAAACAAGTGCGTGTGGCTAATTGACAATTCAAATGAGATTCACAAGAATGATGCGCCTCATCCCAGGACATTGTAGAACACACAGGGGGCAAAGTTCTGCAAACCTCTTCGCCAGAACCAAACACCTTGAGGGAAGGGCTCTCCGGGCTTGGGGACTTAGGACCACAGTCTTGGGGGGTCAGGCATTTAAGTCAACTGGCAGCACATAGTCCAGAAAGCCCATGTTCTGCGTCTTGGCTTGATGATTAATAACTGGGATCTTAAAAGCATGCAATCAGCCATCTAAGATGCAACTATATTAGTCTTGCCTAGTCCAGAGCAAGGAAGAGAGCAGAAAACCAAGGATTCCAGGAAGCAATCCCAAGGACTAACGGATCTGGTGAGCCACAGCCTGATACCAGAAGAACTCCTGATCAGAACAAGGGAAGGAGGTCAAAATGCAGAATAAAATTCGAAACCACGCTAGGAACTGAAAATAAAGGGAATCCAGGACGGATGAGCCCTATAGGACCAGTGGTGTGAGTGGCAAAACAGGGAGGGTAAAGGGAGAATGGGTAGGAAAGAGGGAACCGATTACATGGAACTGTGTGTGACCTCCTCCCTGGGGGACAGACAACCGAAAAGTGGGTGAAGGGAGACGTCGGACAGGGCAAGATATGACAAAATACCCATTTATAAACTATCAAGGGCTCATGCGGGAGCGGGGAACGGGGAGGGAGGGGAAAAATGAGGACCTAATGTCGGAGGTTTAAATGGAGAGAAAATGTTTTGAGAAACGATGTACAAATGCGCTTTACACAATTGATGTGTGTATGGAGTGGGATAACAGTTGTATGAGCCCCTAATAAAATGTTAAAAAAGAAAAAAAAATCGAAACCACGCAAAAAGACCAGACTTACTGGTCTGATAGAGGCTGGTGGGACCTCTTGAGACCTGTGGTCTGGACACCCTTCAAGCCTGGCATTGCACCCACCCATGGGGATCAACTTTCAGCCAAACAACAGATGAGCCTCTGAAGTGAACAGTAACCCCAGGGAGGGATGTTCTCCTCGTTACAATCAACCACAGGAGACCCAAAAGGCATTTGCCCCAAAACCAAGTTTAGAAGGCAGGAAGGGGCCGGCGAGACGACCGAGTGGGAGGAAGGAGGATGAGTGCTGTGATGCGGGAGGGATTGTAAGGCATGACAAAATGTATGACTCGTCCAATGAGACATGGATTCGCCCTGCAAAGGTTCACCCAAACTGCAGTAAGAAGTACAACAAACAACAACATGGTGGACTCAGTTGTTCAAGACCTGGGAGTCACCCGGACTCACTGGCCCTCATCGTCCACATGCAATCAGTCCACCAGCAAGTGTTTGGGGGTTTACCTTCAAAAGACAGCTAGATTCTGCCCATGTCTTCAGCTTCCACTCAAACCCTGCCCAGCCTGCAGTGTTTTTATTTCCTCACCTCCCTCCCAGAAGCCATTCCCCATTACCAAGGGCTTCCAAACCCTCTGCTGTGACTGTGTGTGTGTGTGTGTGTGTGTACAAACCCAGCCTATTCGCTCACTTCATCTTCTACTTCCTGCCACTGAGTGTGCCTCCAGCCATGTTCCTGAACCCAAGTCTCTAATTGTCTGTATACTGTCAGGCAGGCATATCCTTCGTCTCACCCTGGCTCAGTTTATCTTACAGCTACTGCCTCCAGGAAGCCTTTCCTGATCACACCATCACTTCTCTAGCTCCTGCTATCCTGCCTGCCCTCTAGGCTCTAGGCCTTCCTCACGTATACGCCCCCATCCCCCTGGCTAGCCTTGAACTCCCTGAGAGCAGGACTGTACGAGGGACCCTCGGAGCAGAGCAGCACCTCGCCTAGTGGGAACTCAGTAGACCGGGATGTGTTGAGTGCACGGTGCACACCTTTATGGATGTTTCCCAATTTTCAAACCAATCTAGGTGACTTCCTTCTCATCCTCCGTCCTCCATGCTGGCTCAGGTTTCCCACCTGCTTCCCTCCTCTCATCCCAGACTCCTCAGACAGACATCACCGAGGACTTTAACTTCTGTCTTTGCTAGTTGACCTAACTTCTGTGGCTTCTTCACAATTGTAGCCTCCCATACTGTGCAGTTGGCTGATTTTCAAGTCACCCATGCTCTGCAAGCCTCTTGGGACTCTGGCTGCCCAAAGGAGGCAGCCCTGAATGGCCTTCCAAGCGCCTCACTTTCCTTTACCAGCGATAGCTGCACTGCCTCTCGCTGTTCCAGGGAGGAGCCAGCCCTCTGGGAGTGAGGACATGTCATTTGAGATGATCACTTTGTGGGAGCTTCCTAGGTAGCTCTGGACCAGGCTTGACTCCCGCCACTCCTTGGTGGGCTAAGTGATCCCTAGCAGTCATCCTGCCTACCCTAAACTTTTGTTTAGCTCTTCCACCCTGCCAGCCTTTCCCCTTCTCTCCAGCTTTTGCATTTGATCCTTAGGAGCCCATAAGATACGTGTCTGTGCTGCTGGTGGGACTGAGGGAGGGGGCATGCCCTCCACTAGCCTCCCTTTCTTTGAGGGGCATCTCCAGGCCAAACAGGTGAGCAGGAGGATGGCCTTTCGGTGCTCAACCAATAAGCAGCTAGCCCTCTCCCAGTTGCCACCTAACCCCTACTGAGAGAAAGCTCCAGGCTCCTCCTGCAAGAGCAGCCGAAAGGGTGGAGGACCAGGGACCCCCCTCTTCTCTAGACGGCATCCTTTGCTCCGCTGCTCAGTCACACTCTCAGAATCCAGCGCTGGCCAGCGGCCTAACTGCCCTGGGCTCTAATCCTACCTGGAAAGCAGACTGGTGGGTGGCAAGGTGCTGAGACTGCCCTGCTGCATGGACGTCAGCCTCCTCCGCCCTCTGCCCCGAGTTCTAGGTCCCCAGCCCTGCCTTCAACTTTACCCAACTTCTCAAACAAGAAACCTGTGGCAGGTGGGAACTAGCAATGACTTACTTTCACTCACCCCACTCCACTCCCTCACACTCACTCCTGAGATGCCTGTCCACATCCCAAGGCAGATGCTTATCATGTAATACGAACTTTCGGAAATGCAGCTCCTTGGGTCTGGGGGTTCTCATTGGGTAGATCCAAGCAGGGCTGAGGTGCCTGGAGTCCCAGATGGTGCTGATGCAGTAAGCTTGGGGACAGACGGCCAGTGGAGTAGCCCTGCACCTTCATCTATCCCCAGGCCCTATTCTATTGGAATCCAAACACCTGCCATCTGATGACGTGGAACTGACACGAAGCTGTTCTCTGGGTAGCCTGCCACCTTCCTGGCCATCCTTGCCCCGCTCAGCCACTCCATGTTGTCCACACCCCCCTACACACGGCTTTCATCATCTTTGGGTCAAGAGGCTCCTCAAGGACCTGTCCAGGAGCCTCCAGTCCACCATCCTGGGAAGACACTGCTCAAAGGTGTACCTTAGGCCACCCTTCCCACCACCTGCAGCACTTCCCCAAGACCCCTTCTAAGGGGGAGGCACTGGGAAGGCCCAGTGTTAACATGGGAGGGGCTCTAGCCTCTGGATTTGAATGACTTATCTGTAAAATAAACATGTTAACACGGAGTTGTTTTAGCTAGAACATTCCATAAAGCTT